CAGTTAACTGATCAAAAATCAACTATACACTGAAAAAGTCAAACTTTGACTTTTTGGTCAAAATCAAGTGCCAAGGGTCATTTTTTATCAAGATGTGTCAAAACATGAAACTTGTTCATCAAGAAACCCAATTTTGCAAATTAGGGTTTAAGATTGAAAATTTTCATAACTTAGAATTTTTCTAAGTTATGAAATTTCCTTAATTTTTCCCAACTTTGCCCAACATTTTCACCATGATGCAATTGGATTCAAACAAAACTTCCAACATGAAAATTGTAGTCCTCCATAAATTCTGCAACTTTTATTCACAAAGTTTTCCCAAAAGAAGTTTTAATCTCAAGTTATGTTTTTTGGAACAAGGGTCCATAAAACTTTTAACTTAGTGAAATTTTGCCCTAGTTTAGGCAGGATTTTGACCTATCTTCATGACCATTTTTCACATGGTTCCACTTGGAATATCAAAATGAATTTCAAATATGGATTGTAGAGCATGTTATAAGATTTCCAAAATGTCCAAGAACTCTCCAAAATCATTTGTGGTTAGGGAGAATCGAAGGTTTGAATTTGGAAAAAACTCACTTTTGATCCATGGCATTTTCATGTTGATACAAGTTGCAACTTCCATCCAGCATTGTTTGTACTTGATTAAAGTTCCCTAAACCATTTCATACTAAATAATTAAATGCAAATCCATTGGTTTGAGGCTTTATTCTAATCATGGGAGGATTACACAAGAGATTAATCCAAAAATAGCAAAAAGGCAACATTGTCATTTTTGTCAAATTTGCTTTATGTCAAATTGCATTCTTGAGCCTTGAAAAAAATCTTGTACAGCAAACAATATCCAAAAACTTAGGGGGCCAAGATCATAAAGTGCAAGCTGGTAGATAGCATGTACATGCCTGTCTTGCATCACTTGTTACTTTTGCTTAAAATACAAGAAAACTTGCCAAAGAGCCACAACTTGCATATCTGTTATAACCAACTCTTGCAAGCATTTGAGACAAGTTTTGTACATTGCCTCGAGCCAGAAACACGGATTGTTAAACCCTCAAGCCTTCCAAAACACCAAATCACATTCTTCTTGCAAAACAGGGCACTCCCTGCAGATTCACTTCCATCACACAAACCACTCGTGCGTTTTGCCTCAAACCTGTTCAAACACATTCCATATAACCTATCCAAGCTATCCCAACCATTGGTCATTGACTGTAACTCCATTTTCAAGCTTCACCATTTCTGTTTTTATCTTGTGCAGGTTGAGTTCTACAAGCTTGTTCAAGCAAACCCAAAGCAAACTAGGCATTGAGGAAGGTCAGAGGAAGTTCAAGCAAGCTCCCAAGCATCTCAGGCCTCACTGAAAAGCTCCACATTGCCATACACGAGTTCATCTGAAACAGGTATTTGTCAACTTTCTATCTCTCTATTTAGGAATCATTAGGCTTAGGTTTGTGAATAAAAAATGTAGTACTCATAGCCCTGAAGCTGTACATATGCTCAATTTTCATTTAAGTTAAGCGTGTTAAGAGAATTTGATTCACGAACTTCCTGAAAAAGTTAGGTTAGAAATTAGGGCCAGAGAAACTCTCTCTGGTCTTTGAGAGTTAGATTAAGTTTTTTATATGGTTGAAATCGTCTTGACAAATGCTACAACTTTGGTGTTATGAGTTTTTGCATTAGAGCACGTATGCAGGTTTTCCATATTTGAGTCAGGCGCGCGCATTTTTCTTTGACAAAGGTTGAAGATGAAGTTCAGTGGGCTGGGCTTGGTTCTGGCATTGTTTTTGACACCCCCTCTTTACTGATTGCACTCCCTGGCCCATTTCTTTATATTTTTGTATTTTTTCTATTTATTTTTCATTTCTGATTTTATTTTATTATTTTCTAAACATAAAAAATATTAAAAAACATTTTCATAAATTTTCATATTTTATTTTATATTTTTTTATTATTTTTCTAACATAAAAATAATTTTTAGATAATATACCTTTATTTTATTTAATAAAAACTTGAAAATGGTACATAAAAATATTATGCCTTTATTTTTATTATTTATACTTAAATAATATTTTTTCTAATATATTTTTATTTTTGTATATATTTTATTTTATTTTTATTGTACATAAATAATATAATTAATATATATACTTTCTTAAAGAAAATTAGCGTTTTTACCCTTAATAAAAAAATAATCTTTTATTTCTTTTTTTAATACATTAAATATTTTATTTTTACATACATAAAAATAAACAAAAACATTTTTTGCATATTCATAATATTTTGCATATTTATTTAATTGACCATTTAAATACTTGCCTATTTATTTATTTGTACCATTTATTCAATTTGGATGTAATAGTAAATATTAGGGTTTTATTTTCTTGCAAATACTCCCTCGTTCAAAAATTATATCCCCCTCCCCATATCAATGTTGTAATAGCCTAGGTTTATTTTGCACACTTTATGCTTTCAAATATGCCATGTTATAGATTAGGGTTTGTATGCAAATGTCCAAAATCAAAAACAAATAGCTTGACTAATGCAAGACATAAATGCATGAAAATGACAACACAGTGCACACATGCACCCTCAGGGTTTCATCCACTTGTTGCCTTTAAAAAATGACCATGTTATGCATGTTGAGTATCTTAGCAAAACAAAAACAAAATAAAAGATCATAGTCCCTCGATGACGCTATCTTGGTTGCCTATACAAAATGATCTAGTCCCTCAAATATTTGCTAAAGATACTTAGCACTATTGTTATCATGGTCAATACGATGATCCGCGCCTGTTCCGTTTAATATCCTAATACAAGGTTGTTTACCAAATGCAATGGTAAAACAACACTGTCAAAAGGGTTAAAAATGTGTAGGAAAGATCTTTGAGTAAAATAGGGTAGACAACTCTTAGTTACTTGATCAAAACTTGCAAAAAATATCTTTGCTATTTTCAAACACACCTCACAACACAATTTCAAAACATTTCCCAAAACAAACTTTCAAACATTGAAATATCTTTTCAAAAGACAAACACCTTTGTATATATTCAAACAAGAATCATTACAAAGGTTGCCACAACGATGGCCTCTTTTCAAAACATTTTTCAAAACCACACACAAAGCACCATTTCAAACAACTGAAAAGCAAAAGCAAGTGATCTAAACAACTAACTAAGAGCCCATGGACAACCATGGATGAAAAGGGTGCTTGCACCTTCTCTTTTCATAATCTACCCCCCGAACCCAAGAAAACATCTCAAAGGTCTTTCCTGTGCTTTTTGATCTTTCCTTTGGATAAAATAAAAAGTCGGTGGCGACTCTTGCTAAACCGAAACATTTGCGAACACAAACGCAAAACCTCAAGTCAGTTCTCCCACCGTATCACAGACCCTTTACAAACAAATCATTGGATCCTTGAGGTATCTTTGCAATACTAGACCAGATATCTGCCAAAGTGCAGGATTGTTGAGCAGATTTATGGAGAAGCCTCAAGAATGTCATCTCATTGCAGTAAAGAGGGTGTTGAGATATATAAAGGGAACTATTGATCATGGTGTGCTGTTACCAAAGAAATCGAAGAATAACTCAGATGTCGAAGTTCATAGATACACTAACTCAGACTACAGTGGAGATCAAGACGAAAAGAAGAGTACCGCAGGATACATTTTCATGATCGAAGGAGCTCCAATCTCTTGGAGTTCGAGGAAGCAAAGCATTGTAGTTTTGTCATCATGCGAAGCAAAATATGTGGCTGCATCATATGTTGCATGCCAAGCATCATGTATCGAAATGCTACTTGAAGAATTTAGAATAATGGAATCGAAGATGAAGCTATTTGTTGATAACAAGTCAGTTATAAACCTTGCGAATTATCCAGTGTGTCATGGTCGAAGTAAATACATTGAAAGAAGGTACCATTTTCTGAGGGAACAAGTCAACAAAGGAAAGCTTGAAATAAAACATTGCAAGACAGAAGTGCAAGTAGCTGACATATTCACCAAACCTCTGAAGAAAGTAAGGTTTAAAGAGTTAAAGAAAGGCATTGGAAAGAGAAGTCTTAATAACATGAATTAGGGGGTGTGTTAGTTGGTTAATTCTTGTTATGTAGTTATTTGGACTTTTAGCGTGTATTTGGGCCTGGGCACTTTGCCTATATAAAGGATCATTGTGTTTGTAATCATAGAACAAAATAATAATACATTCTATTAGAAAGTTAGTTACATTTAACTAACTCACAATCTCTCTCTCTTCTTCTTCTTCATTCTTGTTTTTTCACAAAATCATCTTTTTTGAATCCTTTGTTCTAACAGGTTAGATCCTAGGGAGTAGTTTAATTTAATAAAATGTGTTGTTGAATAAATTGAAGTAAAATGAATATTATAAATATTATTAAGATAGTGTGTAATTTATAATTAAGAATTATGTGTGCGAGTCTGATTACCATGCATTGATTAATTTGATATGTAATGTTCTAAAATAATATTCCAAGTTGTGCTATTCTTAAAGTGCAAAGATATGTGCACCTAGGGATATTAAAATTTGAGAAATGTGAAGTATTTGTCTGTGTACTATGAGGGATATAAAATATGTATATGTGCCATGAATTGTGAAAAGGCGTTGCAAACATATGAAATGTGAAACATATTGTACATATGTGAACAATGATGAGATACAATCAAATTGTGAAATGTGTCAATGTGTTGTAATTCATGTGAAGTTTGTAATTATAATGAAATTTGTTACATGTACACATTAGTTCTAGGTATTCAAAAGAAGCACCAGCGTCTAACAAAAACATAGACAAAAGGGAAATAAGTAAAACTCTTAGGAAGCATACGTAAACTATGGTTAGATACACATTAGCACTATGTATTCAAAAGAAGCACCAACTTCTAACAAAAACCTAAACAAAAGGGCAACAAGTAAAACTCTTAAGAAGCATACATAAACTATGGTTATATACACATTAGTACTATGTATTCAAAAGACTATTGCATAGTTTAGTAACTAGCATCATTTCCTAAACCAGTATCATATATCTTGAATGGTTCTTGCTTTCTTTTAAAAATTCCCCATAAATAATACTTTGATTGAAATCCTGCAAAATGAATAACTCAAAAGTTAGGATACAATTATTAACAAACAATAAAGTTTATATAAAGAGGTAAAATAGAAGTAATGGAATGTAACTCACTCTTATATTGGCTTGGGAGCATTGTAGAAGAAAAAATTAAAAGCTCAGCTTTTTCAACCCAAACTCTTATGGCAAGATCATTGGAAATCATTTCATTAACTAGTTGGTCATAATATCTCTCAACCCTATAAAGAAACAAATTCACATTTAATGCAATACTAGCTTAAAAATGAGCATGGATTCAAATCCTCCGGCAACATACTTAGCTGCAAATTCGGCTGCATCTAAGTATAATGCCGAGAATTTGATTCCAAGTGGAGAGACCACATCAAAGCTACCTCATTTGGAAAAAACATACTCTTTTAGTAACACATACTTTAAAACATTAAAACAGAAAATGTGTTAGCTAAGTTTGTGCAAAAATGTCACCTTTCATTTTGAGGAAAGAAATAAAGGCCTATGCTCAGGTTATTTGTTCCAAATTTCTTGAAACTCTCTGGCCACGCAACTGGTCTTTGAACCAAGTCTCCATAAAGCACATTAGGGAGATGTCTTGTCTCCTCGAGAACTTTAGGGCATGCTAAAGTGGACAAATATCCCATAAGTCTAGTGATTTTATCAAAGCTTTTGTTGAAAACCTGCAAACTTCCCCTAATATCATCAAAATTCAATGTCAGACAATGCTTTCGTCGTAGACATGCAGAAAACTCGTTAATTTTAAAAGACGGTAACCGAATTTACAAAGCATGTTTCTTACCTCCAGATTGGATCAACAATAGGTTGTGGGTCAACAAAAGTAACACATTTCTCACTGGAATCAACTTCACATCTTTCTGAATCTGCAGTTTCGCAGTCTGGATAATCTGTGTCTAATATCTCTTCTTCACAATCCTCACAAAACCAAATAACTTTGTCTGTAAAAACCACAGGACCCTTTAAACAATACCTGAAAATAGTATTTAAGAATGTGAAACTACAACTTCATAAAATGCTAAATATAATGGTTATTTCTACTTTATCCAATAATTATGATAGAAAGAAACAGAAAAAAAAGTCTAGGGTATTGATGTGAATCAATGTGTATCGTTTCAATATTCTTTGTAGTCACATCTCCAAATTAAAAGTGGTTGTGTCTTGCATATGCAGCAGAATAAAATGATTAAAATTTGCTACAAAGACATGAAATATGAGTAGATGAAAAAAGTAAGTAAAAAGCACCTATGCATTGCATAATCTCCACATTTGTTGCAATATACTATTGTCTCTTCAAAGCCTTCATCGCCACACGTAAGACAAACAGATACCTGCAACAAGCAAGAAAAGTTTAAATGCAATGATTCAGAAAATTGTATATAACAACAAAAAGTCCAGTGCATTATTATTTGATACTTCCATTTGGAAATCAGATAGCGAGAAACACCTGAGGCAAATGAACTTTCCCCAACTCACCAATGAGAACATCCATCTCCACTTCCACTTGGAGACCTCCGTCTTCAGTTTCAATTTCAACACTGACCTCAGAAGCGGTATCAATCTCAATTAAGACGGGTGGTAGCAGTTCAATATCTGTTTCCTCAGTAGGATGCTGGCTCTCAATATATTCTACGGCTTCCAATACTTGAGGTTCTGTTTCAGTATGTAGACCACATTCAGTCACGGGCTCAAAACATGACCCCTCTGCATCTGGCCGTGCTGATGCAAGTGGTTCTATAACTATTTCTATAGCTGCTGAACCAAAATTCACAATTTCGGTTTGGTTGTTAGTTATGGAACCATCAGGGTCATGCAACTCCATTGAGATCGAACGTTGTTGATCATTTGAATCAACAATGTCATTCTGAACCTCATTATGAACTTCGCTCTCAAACATTTCTGTCTGTATAATGTCTACTGGTGTAGGTACCTGAAAAGCAATAGGAGATTGTGGTGTTGCTAATACTATTGCACCAGAATCAGGACATGTATCTTCAATCAAGGTATTAATATCAGAACAACCTGCAGGGCCATGAAACTTCATTGAGATTGAGTGTGGCTGATCATTTGTTTCCACGCCACAATCCTGAACCTCGAGATGTTCTTCCCCTTCTTCTACTTCTGTCGGTGAATTGCTCTGACTTGAGGGTTCAAAACTTGATTCCACTGCTGGTGGTGGTGTGAATTCTTGAGAAGTTGCAGGGACTTCTGGTGTTACTGTTGCAGAAAAATCACAAAATATATATTCTGTCTCGGTGCTAATATTCGAGCCTGCTGAGGCATTCAACTCAACTGGAGTTGATTGTGGCTGATCATTTTTTACAGACCTTATCCCATTATCCATCTTCATGTACTTACCTCCTGGTGCTTCTCCTGTCTCGCACTTGGATCCATGACCCTTTGCATCAGTGTTATCCCTGACTTTCCTTTTAGACTTGACAGCTCTTACTTTCTTTTTCTGGAAACTAGGAGGTTCGTGTTTCACATTCTCTACCTTGAAATCACGATCCTTTGCACCAGTGTGAGACCTGAGTTTCCTTTTAGAACCTTCCACTGGAACTTCCTTGTACTCGAATCTAGGAGCTTTGTGATTCGTATTTTTTACAAGGCACCTAACTTTCTTAGATTTTGGAACTTTCTTAAGTTGAACTACTGGATTCTTTTGAGACTTTTGAATATGTATACTCTCTTCTCCATTTGAAGTTTTACTTTCCGCTGGTTGCTCACGTAGTTCTATTAACATTCTTTGATGTTTCTTTCCATTATTATGCGATTCCAAATTCTTGAGAGGAAACACAACACCACAAATATCACAGTGTGCACGTTGTGGCGTGGCTACAGCAGGAATAGTTGGCTCCGGCGTTTGATGCGGTGAGCACTTCTTATCAACATAGTCCTCAGGTGTTTGTTGAGGCAAATCAGATGATTGTTGTTGTAAGTTCATCTTATCAGCATAGCATTCTTCTGACGTTTGATGAGGTAAGCACTTGTTATCCACGTAGTCTCCCGGATTTTGATGTGGTAAAGGCCCCTTATCAACATAGTGTTCTGGCATTTGACTTGGTAACAGCCTCGGACCAAAACAGTGTGCCGGCATTGGATGTGCTAAGTGGCTCGGATCATAATAGTACGTCAGCATTTGATGTGGTAAGTGTCTGTTATCAACATATTGTGGCCGCATTTGATGTAGTAAGGGCCTACTATCCGTATAAGTTGCCGGATTTTGATAAGGAATTGGGTAGTTGTAGTTGAACGGAGTCCAATAAAGAGGAATTGGGTAATTATAGTTAAAAGGTCCCGGACTGAAACCAATGAATGGAATGTGATTCCGACCACCTCTATAATTGTTATACAAGTTTCCATTCTGCAAATAACATTCAAATATGAAGTAATTAGTTAGATATAAAATCATTCATTCCCTTCACCTATGAAGCTCACCAGACAAGATACCAACACTAACAATTTGAGAAAATGAATAAATTGAACGCAATCACATATCTCGAACGGATATGAGTGTAATAGAGTTGTTAAACACGACTCCGATACTGATAATAATTTGAAAAAAAATGAATAAATTAAAGGTAATCACAAATATGAGTATCAGTTTGAAATAATGACACACTTTTTTCAGAGATGTTACAGAAATTCCCTGAACTTATCCTAAAAGAGAAATTACAATCTATAAATTTACTTTCACATGCATAAACTGAAATTCAACTTAGAAGAAAAATAAAATAAAACAACCACATTGGTAGGCATTTACTCATAAACAGAAACAAAACGAAAACACTAACCATTGTGTCAGATTGAAGATTTTCTGGAACAAGAACAATGGATTGTGTCAGATTGAAGATTTTCTGGAACAAGAACAATGGAAATGTGAGAAGAAGAAGAAGAATTGGATTTGTTGAGAGTGAGACTGAGACTGAATGAAGAGTGAGGAAATGATAGGAAGTAAAGGGTTTTTATTGACTACGGTCATTCACTTGAAGTATCTGTGCTTTTGAATGAATATGATCGTTGGATTTAGATCGAACGGTTAAAACTTTTAATTTAATATTATATCTTTTAAAATAATTAAATCAGTATTATATTTTGAACCGTCCGATTCAATCGAACGATCAATGTTTGAGAAATTCTGTGGATCCTTAAATTAATGTGCAGAAATCTTATTTCCAAATTTAGCGGTGAAAGTTATTGTTGGTCTTTAAAAGGTCAATCTTTTTTCTTTTCTTTTTTTTTTGTCAAGAAGGTGTTCATTTTCTAAATGTATATTATATTTTAAAAGTCAAAATATATTTATAAGAAAATTATATTTAGCTTCTCATGTAAGATATTAGTGAACTTAAACTCCAAATTTTAGATTTTAAATTTTTTTTTATTTTTTATTTTTCTTTAATTGAAAGATAATTTTATTAAGGATTAAAAAATATTACAACATATATGTGATCCTAAGGATCCAACTACAACAAAAAAAATAATATTAAACAACCAAAGAAAAAAAATCTTGTCTATGGCATAAGAAGTCTCTTCAAGTACTGTTTAAGCTTAGGTTTGTCCCAACATCTATAAACAATACTATCTATAATTCTGTTAACAATAGTCTGTTGACAGATTTTATCCCTAAATTAATTTTGATTTCTAAGTCTCCAGCTCTCATAGACACTTTCAGGGAATGTACATTAAGTAATTATGACTTTCTACCCTTTTTTATTGCAAACTTCAATGAATCGGACAATTTCTTCTATCCACCTTTTGGGACAGTGATTCTGCTCCAGCCAAATTAGCACCTTCTCCCAAATTTCTTTAGTACCGATTTTCAAGGATTGATGATTTGATGGATCAGTTAGTAGGTGCTTGTGTTTTTAGCAAGATTGATTTGATGTCGGGTTATCATCAGATTTGTGTTAAACTAGATGATATTCCAAAGATGACTTTCAGAATAAGGTATGGTCACTATGAGTATATTGTGATGTCGTTTGTGTGTCTAATGCACCATGTGTTTTCATAGAGTATATGAATCAAACTTTCCATTCGTATCTGGATAAGGTTGTTGTGGTCTTCATCGATGATATTTTAATTTATTCTAAATCAGAAGAAGAGCATGTTGAGCATTTGTAAATCATGTTGCAAGTGTTGAAAGAGAAGAAGTTGTATGTGAAGTTGTCAAAGTGTGAGTTCTGGTTGAAGGAGGTGAGTTTCCTTGGTCATGTGATTCCTAGTGGTGGAGTTTTTGTTGATCCTTCTAAAGTAAAGGCCGTGTTGTAATTGGAGACTCTGAAGTCTGCTCCCGAGGTTCAAAGTTTTCTTGTATTTAAGGTTTTTCTAAGTTGGCATTACCTTTGACTCGGTTGACTCGAAAGGGTCAAATTTATGTATGGGATGTTGCGTGTGAAGAAAGTTTTGTAAAACTAAAGAAGAAGTTGACGACTGCTTCGATATTGATTTTGCTTAATCTGAGTGAATCATTTATGGTATATTGTGATGCATCGATGATAGGTCTTGGTGGTGTGCTGGTGCAGAATGGTCAAGTTGTTGCATATGCTTCTAGACAACTGAAAGTTCATGAAAGAAATTATCATACACATGACTTAGAGTTGGCAGTTGTGGTATATGTGTTGAATATTTAGAGACATTATCTGTTTGGCTATAAGTTCGAGGTGTTCAGTGATCATAAGAATTTGAAGTACTTGTTTGATCAGAAGGAATTGAATATGAAGCAAAGAAGATGACGTGAGTTGTTAAAAGATTATGATTTTAATTTGAGTTATCATTCTGGAAAAGCAAAATTTATGGCAGATGCTTTGAGCAGGAAGTCCTTCCATATGTTGATGCTAATGGTGCGCGAGTTAGAATTGATTGAACAATTTAGAGATATGAGTTTAGTATGTGAAATAGCTCCTAACAGGGTGAATTTGGGGATGTTGAAGCTTACTAGTGGTATTCTTGATGAGTTTAGAGAAAGTCATAAACATGATCTGAGTTTGGTTGATCAGTTGTTGCCAATTAACCAAGGTAATTGAGGTGAATTTCAAGTTGATGAAAATGGTCTAATGCAGTTCAGAAATAGAGTTAATGTTCCAGATGTGCCAAAACTTAAGAAGAGTATTCTTGAGGAGGGACATTGAAGTGGTCTAAGTATTCATCCCGGTGCTATGAAGATGTATCAAGACTTGAAGAAATTGTTTTGGTGGTCTGGTATGAAAAGGGAAGTTGTTGAATTTGTTTATGCTTGTCTGAATTTTCAGAAGTCAAAGATTGAACATCAGAAGTCTATGGGTCTAATGCAAGCGTTGAGTATTCCAAAGTGGAAATGGGATAGTATTTCCATGGATTTTATGTCGGGTTTGCTGAAAATTGCTAAGGGTAATTGTTTTGGACTGGCCCAATAACTAGAATTGACTCAATCTGCTTCTACCCTTGGCATCGCCCAACAATATTGGCCCGGCATCTCTGGTCGACCGTGCTCTCGAGCAGCATGACCAATGATGTCTGAAACACGCACCTTCCACGTGAGAAGCCACCTCTCAGTCTGCTCGACGCACGAAGAGCAGGCACCCAAGAAATGCTCATAAATGCTTCTGCTTGCCTTCTCATCCTTACTCGACACAATGGCTAGTTACAGACACGACTGCCCATTTTGACCAAGTCCTGACAGTTACCTATTTTTACGGACCCACATATCTAGGCCCAAAAATAGATATTAATGGCCAAGCGTCGAGGGTATTATATAAACCATCACACTTGTGAGGGCCAGGTATATAATATTCATACCTAAAACCCTAATATATTTCTTATATATCATTGCACCCATTCTCACTTGATCGTCGGAGTGCCTTGCAAGTACACTCTTTTTCTCTTTAATTTTCCAGACAAGCAGATGTCATCCTTCGGCCCACTTTCAAGTTCTGATCAACCGATAAGATCAGTGGCGCCGTCTGTAGGGAACTATCTTCCCCGTCTTCCTTTTCCTTAAAACCTAAGACCAAAGATACTTTCATTACTTCAATCATGGACGACCATGATGACCATCACCTCTCTGGAAAGACTATACTCTCTCCCATCCACAAGACAGACGGGATCCAAGAGCATCCTCATCTCGAGGATGACCTTGACATCAGAGATGGACGAACAACGTCCCCAGATTCAGTCACCATCGAGCGCGACAATCTCCAATCCGTTGACGAGCAGAGTTCCAATAACCCCATTGAGGAGCTTCTAGAGATCCTACAACCAGTTCTTATTCCACAGAATGTCGATCCGGCCCTGGCAGCATTTCTCACTGCCCTCAACCAAACCAAAACCCTAATCTTGCAGCAGAGTAAGAGGATTGAGGCTTGGGAAAAGAAACAATCAAATTCTCCTCCTTAGATATACCAGCAATGTGACTCCCCAAGCCTATCTCCACCAAGGCGTGGTCGTCCAACCAGAAGGGAGAAGCAAGACGTTTCTTTCCTCAAGAAGCGCAATCACACACCTCCCCGAAAAGATCAAGGCTTCCCATCTTCCAATAAGAAAAAGAGAGATCACCAACTTGACCACGATAGTTCGTTGTCGCCCAAACCAAGGCAACAACGAAGAAGCACATCTCCCCGATAGAACAACAACCCCCAGCGAGGAAGGAATCGTCATTTCCTGCCACCATCTCCTGAGGGAAGTGATGAAGACGAGCCCCACAACCTGTTATCAAGAGATATCAAGGAGACCGCGCTCCCCACCAGCTTGGAGAAACCTCCCCCGTTGGGAACATATGACGGAACCCCTGGCTATGATGAGCACATCAAATACATCGATGCGCTGCTCGATTACAGGGGGGTTTATGGAGCAATTAAATGTCTCCTTTTTCCTATAATGCTTATGAAAGGATCCATGACCTGGTACAATAGACTTCTAGAGGAATCCATCACATCATGGAAGAACCTGGGAAGAAATTTTTCCAGGACTTCACAGCATCTCGCCGACACCCCAAGTCGAAAGAATCTTTAGAGGCGATCATCCAAGGGAGGGATGAATCCCTCCGGGCATATACCGAGCACTTCAACAAGGAAGTCGTGCATGTATCTACAACCGATGGCATGAAAAAGTATCTCCTCCAGCGCGGGCTTTGTCCCCATAGCGACTTCGCCAAAGTTGTTGGCATCGAGACTCCTGCCACACTCAACTCCCTCCTACTCAAAGCTCAAGCGTACATCCAGTACAAAGAGAAAGAGGCAACTAACAACACGAGGGACTCGCAACATAGGGAGAATGTGAAAGTCTCAAAGAATGATGAGCACTCGACATCCCGTCGGGGAAGAGAAAAGAACAGGGAGGAAAAATCCCATGATTCTAAAGACTATTGGGGGCCAACTGGTCACTTCCATGACTACACCCCTCTCAACGCTCCGCGCGAGTGAATTCTGACAGAATGCACCAGTTCAAAGTTCAAGCAAGTTGGGGTACACTTTCCCCATCAAACACCGTCCAAGCTTGGGACGGACAAAAGCAAATACTGCAGGTTCCACAAAAGTCACGGGCACAATACTAACGACTGCATCCACCTAAAGGATGCTATTGAGATACTCATCCGAGACATGTATCTCAAATAATACAAGAAGAAAGAGAACGCCCGTGAAGAAGCTCAAGAGTCCAAGAGCGTGGAAGAATAGAAGAAGTCCCCTGACGCGAGCCTCATACCCGTCGCCCTGAGCATTACAAGGCTCGATGACTTCTACTTCCCTTACATGGATGAAGTTCATTTATATTTTGCAACCCATAGCCCATGGGAAACATTTCCAGAGACGATGGTCATATCCGA